GGAGCTCCTCCTCGATGATCTCCACCTTCTTCTTCTCCCAACGGGCACAACCCCACGACCAACTATCCTGCTTCTCCAGCCTCCCACCGATGAACGCCGGGAACGGCGCCTCCGCTGGATTCCTGATATAAAACCACTCCCCGTGCCACCCCCGGTTGGGGTACGCGGGATACGAGCCTCTTGCGCTCGGTTTCCTCTGCAGGGCCAAACCCCCCACCGGCGCAACCTCAGGCGGATTCCCCACTGTCAAAGCTCTCCTAGAGAATAGCCGCCAAAAGAAGTTCGCGTGTGGCTCCATCCTGAGGAAAGCCTCGCAGACGGTGACGAAGCCGGCGATGTGCAGCACCCCCATCGGATTAAGGTGCAACTGCTCTAGACCCCACTCATTGAGGAGCCCACACAGGAACTAGTGCGTGGGGTATCCTAACCCACGCTCTTGGAAGGTGAGAAAGATAACCACCTCGTCAGGCCGAGGTTGCGGGAACTCCTCCCTTCCGGGAGCCCTCTAGTGCGCCACCTCCTTCGGCGGCAGAAACCCCTTCGTGGCGAAGGCCTTCAACACTGACTCCCTCACAGTGGATGACCTCCAGTCTGACATTTCGCTCTAGGATCACAAAAGGATTTGTGAGTTTTTCTCTTCTCCCTCGCTCTCTCCCTTTTCTTTCCTAGAAACCACCGCGGCTCTCAAGAACGCTCTCGGCAAGAAGGAAAAGGAAAGGAGGTGGCAGATGAGGAATAGGCGAAAGAACAGGGTGAAAACCTTCTCCCTTCTACTTAGGGAAAAAGGTACAACAGTTAGGGGAGGGCGCGCCGATCGGGAAAGACGAAACGGCGGAGCGAAAAACCCTCTCTCTTTCCCATTTAATGCAGATGAGATGCACCCTGACCGATGAGACGTGCCCTGCCCGACGGAATGGCTCCTGATCAGACAGGATGTGGCCTGGGTATGGCCCACCACTACCGCACACCAGCCACTACCGCACGCGGGGCACAAGAACTAAAGTGCCACCGCACACAGGCGGCTCTCCGCATCCCTAGACGGGACTTAGAAAAAACCCAAAACGAGATCTCCGCCAGGAGAGACCGTCGGGCTTCTTAAGTCGATCGAACGGCTCAGGAAACACACCAAGAGATAGGTAGGGAGCGAATGGACGCCCCATGTAGGCCATGCCGACTCCGTCACGAACGACAAGCACGGGTCCCGGTCGGACATTTTTGACTGGAGCTCTTCAAACCCCGTCACTCGAGTCATCAAGGTAACACTATCGAGCACCGCTATTTTCTTTATAATCATTTCATACATCCATATGCGCATTTATTCCATACGCCCGCGCCCCCCGGACGATTTGGGCCCTAAACCGCCCGGGGGCTCGGGAACTAATCATCGCACATGCAGCGAAATGCATCGCAACGCTCCGTGTTGCGTCACGAAGCGGTAGTTGCCTCATTCGATGTGAGCAACGACCGACCGAGGTTCGAAGGCCGACCCACAAAGGGCTCGAGGCCACCCCACGTCAAATAGAGCTAGGGGAGAAAAACGCAAATGAGCCCCGTGCGGCCCTCGCCCACTCTGGCAGACAGGGTCATCTCAAACTTCTCGTTCGATCCTAAGCCTCTGCCAAGCCCACAAAATCTCCATCAAGGGGAGGCCATTAGGCCACCCAGGTCGGTCTCCGGAACGACCCAGGCATCTGCCGGGTTGCAGGTAAAGAAGCAGTGGAATGTCACAAGAGGACTATGCCGACCCTGTCACGAACGACGGACCCGGATTCCACTCGATCATACTCGTTAGCGAACTCACCGAGCGCGTCACTCGAGCCCGAGCGATCGGGACAAGCGACAAAACTCAGCCCCTCCGGTTGTGAGGAACCAAGGATGGGGTAACGCACACAACTCAAACCGACCCCTACTAAAGCCCAATGGGGCTCAAGACACAAAACGCCTTGGTCTGCGACCCCGAACTCGCCCCATCCGGCTACGCTTCGACTGCACTCCAAAACTACCTGGGTCTGCGACCCTGAACTCGCCCCATCCGACTATGCTTCGACTGCACTCCAAAACTACCTGGGTCTGCGAGCCCGAACTCGCCCCATCCGGCTACGCTTCGACTGCACACCAAAAATGCCTAGGTCTGCGACCCCAAACTCGCCCCATCAGGATCCATGACTCCGACTCGCCCGATCCCACGGCGCGCACCGATGCCAAGATCAGCGAGCTCCATCTCAACCGATCCCTAAACTAACTAACTAACTACCTCAGCTGCACATACTGCACCGAGGCCAGGATCCATGACTCTGACTCGTCCGATCCCGCGGCGTGCACCGACGCCAGGACCCGCGAGCTCTGTCTCGTTCGATCCCTTGACTAAACCGTCTCGCCCGATCCCACGGCGCGCATTGACGCCAGGATCCGCAAGCTCCGTCTCACCCAATCCCTAAAAACTAAACGCCACGGCTGCGCAACCACGCCTTGGTTGACAACTCCATCTCGACTAAAAAGCACGCACACACTCCCGCTGACAAACACCCCCCAGATGATTCTGTCCGAATTGCCCGGGGGTTACACCCGTGGGTGCGCTCGCGCGCACCCGCCGTCGAGGCAAAAATCCCCCAGACGATTCTACCGAATCGCCCGGGGAGACAAGGCTTAAAAGCATACGTACTCTCTCCCTCTCACTTGTAAGGCCATCCCCTTCATCTATAAAAGGGGATACGCTCTCTCCCAGGAGACAAAGTGAAGCCAGTTCATCCAAGTCATTTTCCATTTTTCATTAGATCGACCAAGTTCTCTAGCACACAACCACAGAATTGCCAGGTTCGAACCACAAGCACACGCTTGAACACTTAGCTCATAGTGGAGCTCCTATCGCTCTCAGCCCTTCCGACCGGACCTCATGTACCCCCCATCTTTCTCCTTCTTGTTTGTAACCCCACAACAAACTCGAGTACCTAGGCTCAGGAATAAAGTCACCGACCGACTCAAACTGGACGTAGAGCATGTTGCCTGGACCAGTATAAATCCTATGTCATTGAGTGCTAGGCCACCTCCGATCACAACGTACGGCAAAACTACAAATATTTACTTGTTGGTCACTTTCTGCACCGACACTAGGACTCCTACAGGAAACCTTAACTTATGACTCGGGACAAGATTAGCACCGAACATCTAGAACACGGCATCCGTCTAGACGCAGCCCTACACCCATGCCTGACGCACACAACTCTCTTGGCCCCATGCCAAATCCCGCTGCGAAGGAAGCATCGGTCCGGACAGAGCTCTGCGCCTACACCCGACGCCCGCCTACATCACATCCCTCGCGCCCGCACGTGAACCACGATGGTGCCCAGGCAGCAGCACTAGGCCTCCTACACCCATCACGCGCCCGCACGTGAACTATGGCGGCGTCCCGCAACAACGCCAGCCATCCACACACATTGCAATATGTGCAACATCCAATCTACTTTTAAAACATAAAGATGAAGCATTTGCAACATACAACTGAAACAGATAAAATATTTGAAATATGCTCTTGAAACATGCGTGTATAGCTATATAGCAACATATGCAATATCCAGATCCACTTTTGCAACATAAGTATGAAAATCTGAAACACACAAAAACAAACAGTTGAAACATGTGTGTGCAGCTGTAGCAAACATATGCAATATCCAGATGAAAACACTTGAAACAGACGTCTGAAACAACTGACACTCTTTGAACATAGGCTTGAAACATGCGTATGTTGTCATTGCAACATATGAAACATCCCAGATCTACTTTTACAACATCCAATGAAACACTTGAAACATAAGTCTGAAACATCTGAAACACTTAAAACACAGCGGCGGCGGCGGCCACAGCCTACCTGATGGGGAACTTCGATAGCCAACAAGCTCGGGTTAGGGGGACGTTGAGAGCAACGGTCCAACGTACACCCTAGGCGCAGCGCGCATGCCTTCCCTTCCTATCGACGAGCGCGCTGGATGGGGGTGCAGGCCTCCCCTGCCTCTCCTTCTGCGATGGGCGAGGTGGATGGGGGCATGGCGTGGGGCGCAGAGTAGCGCAGGATGTAGTCGGGCGTGGCGGTGTTGAGGAAGGTGGGCACGCAGGGCGCAGAGCAGTGCGGGATGTGGCCAGGCACGCCGGCGTTGAGGAAGGCGGGGGGGGGGCGATGGAGCGCTGTCGCGGAGCGCAGTCACGGACTCGTGACGCTGTGGCGATATTTTCTTTAAGAAATTGCGGTGCCGGAAGGGGAGTGGATAAGGAAATCTCGTGGACATCGTGGCCCACCAATGGGGCCGTCTGTTCGGACGGACATCCTCGAGAGAGCATTACCGCTTATGATTTCAGTATGTGAGGTGGTGCCTGCGATATGTGGTTATTAACACGAGACAACTACCATCAAATAGTAAGGCCACCCAACTGGCGCCAAGGAAAGATGCTGCAGCTGTAATCACATGACGTGCACTGCACTGCTATAAAAGATTACGCTTTATTATTACATAGGAAAACAAAGGACAATGCTTTGGTGTTTGGTAGACCACTCTTGAGCATCAGGTCACTGCTGCCCGATTCCTTGTTTGTTGATTGATTCCCTCCTTCATTAGCTCTCCGTCTTCTATTTTTTTATTTTCCTCACAACTTTGCTTTCCCTCTGCCAGCTCATCACTCCTCTGCGCTGCTACAGCCAGCCCATCACCAGCTCGGAGACTCCTTCCCGGCGTCAATCTTGTATTGCGCAGCGTTGGCAGCAGCAGAGAAACAAGTTGTGTCTTCAGTCCTCAGCTTCTGCACTTCACTTGGGTGAGGAACACATGCATGCATGCATATATGTAACTAAGCTAGCGTTGGCCGCAGCATCATTGTTGATCATGGTTTTGCTGTTCCTATATGATGCGTGCAGCTTCTTCAAATAAAGATCTGCCGGCGGCTGGACTGGCGCCAGTGCCACGCTAGCTCAAGGACGTCGTCGGCGCGGCGGAGGTGACAAAATCACAAGAATGGAGGTCGCCGTCAGCGCCGCGCGCTGGATAGTGGGCAAGGCGCTGGCCCCCGTGACGGGCGGTTTGCTAGAGGCATGGGCGGCCAGCAACGGGCTCGGACCCAACGTTGACGCCCTCAAGATGGAGCTGCTATACGCGCGGGCCATGCTCGACAACGCACAAGAAAGGGAGATCCGCAGCCCTGCGCTGAAGGAGCTGCTGCACAAGCTGCAGCAGCTGGCCTACGATGCCGACGACGTGCTTGATGAGCTCGAGTACTTCCGCATCCAAGACGAGCTCGATGGCACCTACCATGCCGCCGACGTGCACGCCGGGGGCTGCGTCCACGGACTCGCCCTTAACGCTCGCCACACGGCCAGAGCCATAGCTGCTAAACTCAACCTCTCCTCTGGCTCTAGTAGTGACATGAACGTCCAAGTCCAGGGTGATCCTGATAAGCAAGATGGTAATAATGCAAAACAGGGGTGCCTCTCTAGTGTCTGCTCATGTGGCGGGCGGACTGTCAGCTCCTCGCCGCCATCTCCTACCACCAACCAGGATGACGGCAAGGTTCACGGCGGATGCATGCAAAAATTGGCTTCTAGTAATACCCACGCCGCCTCATATATCAGTAAGCGCCTCTTCCCATGCCGCCCTTTATTGACCATAATATCATCTGTTGGTGCACACTCTGACATGTCTGAGGATCATCACATGACAGGAAATGGAGGGCAATTCTTCGGTGGCGTCTTGTGTGGCAAGCGTGAGGGCAGCTCGTCAACGACATCTCCCACCAACCGCAGCAAAAAGAAGGTTGGCGGTGGATGCCTGCTGAAAGTCAATTCTGCTGCTCGCAGTACTGGCCATGCCGTTGGTAAATGCCTTCCATGCTGCTCCTTCTCATCCGTCGATGATGGTAATACTCACCCTGGCATGTTGGAGAGTCCAAACATGCCAGAGGATCAAAGGAAATTTCTCTGCTGGACGTCCATGGCACAGCAGAGAACAAACACTACACTAGCACCAGAATTGAAGTTTAACAGGGTGGGCATATCTGTAAAGGTGAAGGACATCACAGATGCACAGAGCACCTCAAGCCTATATGTGCTAAGGTCTCCAACATTCTGAACCTAGAGTTCATAGGCACCAACCGTATCACTGAAAAAGACATTGCTAAGAAACGACCTGTAACCACTTCAGGCATTACAGAGAATCAATTATATGGGAGGGACATCCAAAAGAATAGAATACATGGCATTGTTCATCGCAACTGTTCTGCTAATAATGAACTTGTTGTGCTTCCAATTGTTGGTCCTGGGGGAATTGGGAAGACAACTTTCACACAACACATCTATGCAGAATTGAAGAGCCATTTTGAGGTCACAATTTGGATATGTGTCTCCCTCAATTTTACTGCTAGTAGGTTGGCACATGATGCTGTGAAACAAATTCCTAAAGTTGACGGTGAAAATAATTACAGTAGTGATCAGGAGCTAATTGAACAAAGATTGAAAGATAAACGGTTTTTGCTTGTGTTAGATGATATGTGGGCATGTCATGAGGATGAATGGAAAAGACTACTGGTACCATTTGGAAGAGGGGAGGGAAAAGGTAGTATGGTTATAGTGACCACTCGAATTCCTGAGGTGTCAAAAATGGTTATTAAGGCAGTAGATTGTCCAATAGAAATGGAACGCTTAGAGGGTGAAGATTTCATGCATTTCTTTGAAGCATGCGTATTTGGTGATCACCAGCCATGGGAATGTCACAAAGAATAACGTGAAGTCGGGGAAAAAATTGTGAGCAAATTGAAAGGTTTTCCTCTTGCGGCAAAGACTGTAGGAAGATTACTAAGAAACCAACTTACTTTGGAACATTGGACTAGAGTTCTAGAAAGCAAAGAGTGGGAACTCCAAACCAATGAGAATGACATTATGCCAGCATTAAAGCTTAGTTATGACTATCTTCCTTTCCATCTTCAGCAGTGCTTTTACTATTGTGCTTTGTTTCCTGAAGACTACGAATTCGATAGCAAAGAGCTGGTTCACTGGTGGATAGGACTAGGCATTGTACACCCGTGTGATCTGAACAGAAGAATTGAGGATGTTGGACATAGCTATTTAAGTGACTTGGTTAATCATATGATGGTCGTACTTATTTTGTTGTCCATGACCTACTACATAATTTGGCGGTGAATATTTCGTCATTTGAATGTTTCGGCATATGTAGTTCTAACATAAAGTCAATTCAAATTCTCCAAGATGTACGCCACTTGTCTATCATTGTAGATAACAAAGATGTCGAGGACATAAAGAACTTCAAGTACTATAAAAATGACTTGAGCACACTTGATAAAAGGCTGAAAGTTGAAAACCTGCGTACATTGATGGTATTCAGAGAACACCATGGAAGCTTTGCCAAGACTTTCTGTGATTTATTTGAGAAAGCAACAGCCCTCCGTACTATTTATTTGTCTGGGGCGTCATATACTGTGGAGGATATGTGCTGCAACCTTTCAAAGCTTATTCATCTTCGCTACCTAAGGATCAAATCAGTTTACTTGGGAAAGTCGGCCGTTAATCTTAGTGCTCTCTCTAGACTTTATCATTTAGAGGTCATAGATCTGCAGGAATGCAAAGGCTGCTATGGTTTCACAAGACATATGAGCAACATTGCAAAATTGTGTCACTTTCTAGTGCCAAATTATGAGCTTCAATTTCACTCAAACATATTTGAGGTGGGAAAAATAAAATCATTGCAAGAGTTAAGGAGCTTTGAAGTTGGAAAAGAAAGTAAGGGTTTTGAACTAAGTCAGCTTGGGAAATTGGCAGAACTTGGAGGTTCACTTGCCATTTGTAGTCTTGAAAGGGTACGAGGAACGGAGGAAGCTACTGAGTCCGAAATGGTACACAAAAACAGGTTGCACAGTCTAACATTAGAATGGGATGTCAAACAACATAACAAGGATCATATACAAGAGGAAAATGTTCTAGAAATTGTGAAACCACATAGCAATATCTGTGGCATATGCATTAGAGGGCATGGAGGTACTAACTGCCCAAAATGGCTTGGTGAGAACCTCTCTGTTAAAAATCTAGAATCTCTTCATCTGGATGATGTGTCTTGGGAAAAATTTCCACCTCTTGGAGGACTGTGGCTGGTCAACAAGCATGGTGAGGAGCATTTGGGCTGCATATCACATAATAGTTTTCGAAATTTGAGAAGGCTAGAATTTAATAAGCTGCCAAGATTTAAAAGATGGGTTGAAATTGACCCTAGTCATCTGTACTCTCACTTGGAAGTGCTCATCATCACACATTGCTCTGAACTCAGAGAGTTGTCGTTTTCCCATTCTACTTGCTGTCAGCAACAGAACGAGGCAAAGATGAATTTGTTTCCTAGACTACGGGAGCTCAAAATTTTAAACTGTCCGAAGCTGTTGTCCTTTCCTCCTGTTCCTTGGACCAGTGCTCTGTGCTCCACTCGGATAAATAGAGTTGGTTTGGGCTTTGAGGAACTGATTTGTGCAAAAAATTATTGACTTGAATATAGCTTGACAATTTTAGGGAAGGATGATCTTGATAGCTCGTTTTGGAACACATTGGCCTTTGATAATCTAACTGAACTAAAAGAGTTGGTGATGGAAAGATGCCCTCCTCTCCCACTGCATCAATTTCAGGTTCTATCATCCCTAAAGACCCTCCAGCTGCGGCATTCAAGCGGCATTGTGTTCTCGTTGGTTAAAGGTGAGAGTTGTGCCAAATATCACTTTCCAATCGAATGCATGGACATCACCAGGTGGGGTGGTAGTGTTAAGGAATTGACACAACTACTCAATTATTTCCCCAAGCTCTCAGAACTGGACGTGTGGTCATGTGACAAGATAACAGGTCTAGGTGTAAGAGAGAAGCAGGCCGCGGCAACACCTGAGCCACCATCTTCAGCTAACAAAGTGGATGATGCACAAATCAAGGAGCACCCACAAAGGGGAGAGGAGAAAACAGCAGCAGAAGGGATGCTGCTCTTGCCTTCCCAATTACAAAAGTTGAAGATCTGGAACTGCCCAAATCTGGGCCTCCACTCCAATCCAGTTCGAGTCGACGACAACAGACAAGTTGGACGAGCCGGTGGAGGACAAGGACTCCAAGGTCTGCGATCCCTCCGATCGTTGGAGATAAGTGGTTGCCCCAGTTTCTCTTCCTGTTCGTCATCCTCTTCTTGTTCAGGTTTCCCCTTCCCAACCTCCTTGGAATATCTCTATCTTGGTGCAGTGGGCACCGAGATGTTGTCGCCTATCTCTCTTTTTTTAACGCAATGGCAGGAGCTCTGCCTTTCAATTAAGATAGGGAAAGAGGGTTTATGTACAAGGAAGGAAGACACTCCAAAAAGGGTATTAAGGACCCCTGGTGCACATGAAAACACCACGAAAACACATTCCTCGCGGTTAGAAAAAAGGAGATTGCTAAGTGTAAGCGAAAGCCCTCTTCCTTTGCTCTATGTCCTCCTGGATTCTTGCGACCACTTGTGGCACTATCTCTGCGGTATTGTTGAAAATTCTCATGTTTCTCTCTTTCCAAATATTCCAAAATGTGTGATCACTACCCCATTGAGTCGTTTGCGTTCAGTGGTTGGCACTTTTTTTGCCGCTTCTTCCCACCATGCTCTGATCTCGATAGGGTCCCCCTGAGGCTGTGACTACAGCACACTGAAGTTCTCCCAAGAGAGGATTTGGTCCCAGACCGCCTTTGCAAATGGGCAGCACAAACAAAGGTGTAGGGCGGTTTCTAAGGACCCGTTGCAAAGCACGCAGTGATCTTGATGTGGCCACCTCTCTTTTGTAGGTTTTGTGCCGTGAGAATTTTGTCTTGCACTAGAATCCAAGCGAAGATCTTGCATTTGTTCTCTACCTATGCTTTCCAAATTACGTTAGCATGGAAAAACCGGAATGAACCTTGGAATTGGATTCGGTAAGCTGAATGGGTGGAGTAAACCCCATCCGGGGTCCATCGCCAGGTGATGGAGTCCCGAACGCCCTGCTGCAGATGGGTGTCCTGAATTCGTATCCAAAAGGACACAAATCCTTCAATGTGGACAGCCGAGGTGATCTTTCCCCTTAGCGAACGCATCCAATTGTTGTTCCAGAGTTCATGTTGCACCAATTGGTTCTTTCTTGAAACAAGCCGAAACAGGTTTGGAGCTAGGTACCTTGGAGCTTCCCCATCTAACCAATTGTGGTGCCAGAAGCGAGTCTTTGCGCCATCACCCAAAGTAATTTTGATTGAAGCGTTGAAAAGGAGGCGATCCACATCACTACATGGGAGTTCAGAGCCTAGCCACGACTTGGAATCCTCCACCCATTCTTGCCATAGCCAGCGTAACCGGAGAGCTCTTCCAAATCTATCAAGGTCAGGCACCCCCAAGCCTCCTAGGTCTTTGGGTCTGGTAACTATTGCCCAGTTGACCAAGCAGTGTCCGCCATTGGTGTTGTCTTCCCCCTTCCAAAGGAACGATCTCCTGATTTTATCAATCTTTCTTCTAGCCCATGCTGCCAAGGGAAACACCGTGAGGTGGTAGGTTGGCATGGAGGAGAGGACCGAAGTGACTAGTGTGAACGTCCCGCTTTGTTCAACCATCGCCCTTTCCATTTGGGCAACCTTTGCCCAATTTGCTCAATGAGAGGTTGGACATGGACTTTCTGATGTGATCTGGTGTGGAGTTGCAGCCCCAGATACTTGAAGGGGAAGGCGCCCCTACTACCGGTAAAGGGTGACAGGACATGGTCAAGGTCAACATATTCACACCGGATTGGATGCACAGAGCTTTTTTCTAAATTGATGTGTAGTCCTGAGAAGCTGCCGAAGGCTTGGAGGATAATTTTGAGAGCTTATACATCCTCTATTTTTGGGTTGATGAAAATAGCCGCATCATCTGCATACATGGAGGTCCTCCATTTTGCCGCCATAAGGGGTAAGGGGGTGAGTATCCCATGTTGGGTTGCCTGATCAAGCAAGCGCTGTAGCGGGTCCATGGCCAAAATGAAGAGCATGGGTGAAAGTGGATCTCCCTGCTGGACTCCTCTGGCATGGCTAAAGCTGGGGCCATGTTGCCCATTGAGCAGCGCAGTCGAGGAGGACGTGTGGAATAGGATAGAAACCCATTCACGCCAGCGTGGTCCGAAGGCCAGGGCTTGTAGGACCTCTAGCAAGTACCCCCAATTCACCGTGTCGAAAGCTTTGTGGATGTCCAATTTCATGAATAATGCCGATATCTTCTGCCTGTGTAGCTTTCGCACTACTCCCTGAATATAAAGGAAATTGTCATGGATGCTTCTCTTTTTTATGAATGCGCTCTGGCAATTGGAGACTAGGGAGTTCAGCCGAGGGGCCAGCCTGTTAGCTAGCAATTTGGAGAAGATCTTCGCAATGCTGTGGATGAGGCTAATTGGCCTAAAATCGGTCACCCTCATTGCGTCCGCTTTTTTGGGCAGCAGGACAATGCACGCCGAGTTGAGCCACTCAAATCCCTGGGCGTTCATTGTGAACAGGCTGTTTATGGCAGACATAACATCGTCTTTGATAATTCCCCAGCATGCTTTAAAGAAGGCACCTGTGAAGCCGTCCGGACCTGGCGCTTTGTCAGAGGGCATGGCATTTATTGTATTATGAACCTCTTCGTGGGAGAAAGGTGCTTCAAGGTCCGAGAGGTCATGCGGGGTATAGCCTAGGGATTGCCAATTGATGGTCGTCGATCACGGAGTTGCGGAGCCAATGTGGTTTTTGAAATAATCCCCTATAACTTTTTCTTTTTCTTCATTACCAATCGCAGTCCCCTCGTCTGTATGCAGACAATGTATGTAATTCTTGTCGCCTATCTCAAATCTCACCTCTCTCACAAGATTAACCATGGTGGAATGTGAGGATTTAAGAGGCAAGGGGCTGTGGTCTCTCCTCTCCCAAGATCATCTCATTCTCACTGAATTAATCATCCGTGAAACTCCCAATTTCTTTGCTGGTTCCAAGCCCTCACTGCCGTGGGAACAAGAGTTCCCATCCTCTTCCTCTTCCTCCCAACTGCTTAAAACAGATGATGTCGCAGGAGTTCTTGTTGCGCCCATCTGTACCTTGCTATCTTCCTCGCTCACCTCACTGCATCTTTGGAGGGTAAAAGAGGTGGAGCGATTCACAAAAGAGCAAGAGGAGGCCCTTTGTGCTCCTCGTCTCTCTTGTGGAGATCACATTTAGTGACTGCCACAAGCTGCAGTGCCTCCCTAAAGGGCTACACAGACTTCCCAACCTCAAGATTTTAATCATCTTAAATTGTGCAGCCATAATGTTGCCCAAAGATGGCCTCCCAAGTTCACTGAAAAGATTAGGGATACACAGTTGTCCAGCCATCCGGTCTCTACCCATGGATTGCCTGCCAAGTTCACTGCAAGATTTATGGATCATAGGCTGCCCAGCCCTTCAATCACTGCCCAAGATGAATGATCTTCCAAGTTCATTGTGAGTATTGGATGTCAGTTCTGGCAATAGCCAGGAGCTAAGAAGGCAGTGCTGCAAGTTGATAGGAACCATTCCAATAGAGTCTGACTAACCCAAGGTAACTAAGAGGTGGAATCATCGTATCCACCATCCCATGCTTTTCCTACCACCATACACATCAGTCATTCTCCTTTTGTTTATTTGGCTACAACTATAGTTTTCTTCAACTAACCCACTTGTTTTCATCTGTTGTGCAGGCCTCGTGTTGAAGTTGTACATTCTTCTAGCCTCCGGATTCTCTTTTTCGAAAGATCTAGCCTCCGGATTCACATTGTATCTATACATGATTATGAGTTGCCAAGCATGAACATCTCAGGATGTGCCTAACCTTGTACACAAAATTGGTTAGTATCTTACTAGCTCATTAACCCGTGCTTCAACACGGTCTAGAATATTATGTTACATAGGTTTCATGGATAAATAAATTACATAAAACTAATCCAAATTGGTTTCCTTTACTCTCTATCTATTCATTTCTTTAACACGATATCCATTTATATACTCTTTAATCTCTACCCAAATTGTCAATGCCTTTGGTATGTGGTTTGTTCAACAAACTTTTTTTCACGGTCATAAATTACCAAAATATATGCTTATCGCTAACGTATGCATGTATAGTTAGTATATCGATGACACATAGCATTTATACTTTGAATTCAAGAATGGTAGAACTGGGCAATTTAGAAACATCTATTTATAGTTATTTAATTATTTTTCATAATAGTTTATATTGGAAATTTAGATATAGATTTAAAGGATACTTTAGTTTATACTTTATAATGGTAGTCGTGGGTAATTTAAGTGCAAATTAAAGGGTTACCCTAAATTATCTTTTATACTTGCAGAGGTTGGATTTTGGCTAGCGGGAATTATGTCCAGATGTTTTTCCATGATCACAATCTTCAGCGATATCACTTCTGTTCATGTAGCTTGAGTTCGGACAAGGTTTATTTCTTGGTATCTGTCAAATTCTTGCAAGGATTGCAGGACCAAAGCAAGTTTAAGCATCCAGAGAAATCATGCTTCCAATTAGATCTAAACAGGGGTGATAGTGTGACACTAGCCGACTTCATCCTCAACATTGAGTAGGCCCAGACTCAGAGCAAGGTTTCGTAAGGGAAGTGTTCAGCAAAGAGTAGTTTGAGATAAATTGAATCTTTTGAATTTTCCTCCCGTACCGTACCTACTTCTATGAACGCAGAAAAGACCATTTCCACTGTATTTAGAGAGTACTATTATCTTTCCCTTGCAATACATCTTTGAGAAATTCAATATTATTCATGCGCTTTTCTGCAACATTTTTCGTTTGGATTCTATAGTGTATGGGGCGGATCTGCACCCCGTGTATTCTAACTCCCTCAAAATCTGAGGAAGCAAGAAAGCAAATCTATGAGCTGAACTTTACACAAGACTGTAGAAGAGAGACGATATGCTGCTTGCACCAACTAATGGCATCGATGTGTTGGAGCCGCCTGAATATTTGGACACGCAACGTCATCATGCACTGGAATACAGCAGTAAACCCCGGCACTGGAGCAAGGCTGCACGTTGTTGTGTCATTTTGGGTGCAAGAGGAAAAGCCCACATTCCAAACCTGCGCACCTAGAGGAGCAGTAGCCGCTCTGCTAGTCTGCTAAGATTTCCATGCCTTACCAATAGGGTTACTATGGAAAACTAATAGAGGAAGAACGAGGGAAAGAGACAGATCTGACAAACGTGGGTTAACCCATCAAGCAAGTATATAAATGTGTAACTTTGTATTATGTGTGGGAAAAATAGTCACAATGGTAATGTTACAGGGGGGGTGGGGGGGTGGGGGTGGGGGAGAACTGCTACAAACTTGTCTGGGTGACAATGCCGTTGGCCCCCAGGGCCTTTTCTTGACTACCTTGAAGAAGAACAGCTCTTTTAGGGTTGGAGAGCAGGAGTTGTTGCATGTCTTTCGGCAGGACATTGAATGCTGCTTGGAGGTCTACCTTCAATTTTTGGCATGCTCCTATTGAATCAGCACTTCCTTTTCCAGGGTTCTGGAGGAAGAAGACATTAACATTAGGAACTTCGCTTGATAAATGTCTACAGAATATATGGCCCAATGGCAGAATAGGGATGTTGAGCATGTTAATGGCACAAGATATTCCTTTTGCCTTCAAATTCTCTAAATGCTATAAACCATTAAGAACCATGCCCATTTCCGGTCAAACAACCTTAGTTGCTGATGTAACAAGTGACAAAATATATACTTCCTCAGTTTCCAAATTATAAGACGTTTTGGCTTTTCTAGATACATTGCTTTTACTATGTATCTAGACATAGTGTATATCTAAGTTTATAGCAAAAGCTATGAATGTAGAAAAACCAACTTATAATTTGGAGTGGAGGGAGTACTAAACACCAAGATGGTGAAAGGCTGAAAGCTATAAACCATCAATGTGAAGTCAGAAAATTAACAAACTTTGGATCAGAGAACATATATTGGGAATTAGTTAGTCCAGAAATATCTGTGTACAGATTACAGTTTTTAGCCTATCACCCATTATCCATAAGGAACATCATTTTGGTTAGTTTATTGGTGATACCAATGAAGGCAACTACGAGATGTTAGAAAATACAGTATTCCTCTATAGACATTCAATATAGAATAATAGAAAATAAAACCTATGATTAATATAGTCCTGTACTCCTGTACAGTAGAATAGTCATTCAAACACTAACCCAACATGGTGTTCTTCAAACAAAGAGGCAGTTAACATTGCTCTTATTAGCTCCCAACAGGTAAAGTAGTAATTCTTCTAAAACATAGTAATAAATATTCAAGATATATGAATTATTGTGGAAAACTAGATTTCTTAAGGCATGGCAGTCAGAAAACAAAGGGTTCCTTTAATACAGTACCAAAGTCTTCATCAAAATTTAAAATACAGATGTCCTGCAAATTTTTTGTGTGGAAGAGGAGTGTCTATAGTCAAACTAACAAAAACATGGCAGACTAGCATCAAATATGCTTATGCTCTTGGTGAAAGATGGTAGCTTGAAATATACATTTTATCAGCACTAAGGAAACAAGCTATTCTTGTGGCAGCTAGCGAAAGCAATTATAGGATATTAGTATTTACTTTTCTTTACAAGAAGTTAATGCGAACTGCTAGTGACACTAATCTGCAAATTATAAGAACTTCACTCATGCTAATTTTGATATATCCAACATGGATAAATGATGCTGAACTTTTTCCTAAAAGGGATCTGACTTTTTGAGTATTGGAACATTTGATCCCTAAGCAAGATCATTCTCAATTAATTACCGGTACATATTATTTCAATTGTTTCAGTTCCTAGAGTCCACAGATAATGCCAGGATGCCCCTTATCTCACCTCTTAGTATTTGAGTCTAACTCTAACTTAAGCAGTCCCAACAAAAAAAGGTCTAGGCTCAGACAGTTAAGTCTTATTTATGTTTCATGTTAGGATAAGTTTGCAGCCTTCGGTGACAAATTCATCAATACAAACATATGCAATTCTTTCTTCTTTACTTGATATGTGTATTCTGAGCTATTCTTGGCATTATATTTGTCAGAACATAGAACTTGTCCAGGTGATCAAACTTAAATTTGCACACCTAACTTGCAGAATAAATGCCTTAATAATGAAATGCTGTCATGTTAAGAAATTGCAAAACTTAGTAGGTCAGATGTGACTAAGAAAGTTACCTCCATCTCTCTGAGAAGATAACGCTCAACAGCATTAAAAGAATCAATCCTCTCTAATTCAGACATATTTGACATTAGCTTTTCAATGTCAACATTCATGCGAGCCTGCCTCCAGAGCCTCTGCTGTTCTTGCTCTGCAGCAGCACGTCTTTGCCGGAACCAAGGCATGAAATTGGGGCCTTCAAGGAATCTCCTGTTAAATATGAGAAACACAGGTTATGCTTCATTATTATGCCAGAAATTCAAAGAAGACACCTAACAAATTTATTCACAAATAAAAACAATTATAGCTTACCTGTATAGGTCCAACCAATTGGACCTCATCCTTTTGTACAAAAATTTCCCTGGACCTCTAGCAGCCAAACCATTGACAAACTCATCTGCGTGAAATGGTGGTAGCAATGGTGGGTCAACAAAAGGTGAACTCCCTTCTGATGGTGTTGTAGTTCTCAGATATGGCCCAAAAGGTGCAAGGAAGTTGGTCGTCAGCTCCAAGAAGTGCCGCCGCAATATCTCATTGTTGACTACTGACATGGACTCCTCAATCCTTGGTGACACACCAGCGTCAATGAGCCTATTTAGAACAGATGTATCGGGCTTTGTGGTTGGCGAATATGTGCTCCATAATGCTTCTTTGTGCTCTGTCATGAGAGAAAGAGGGCCTTCTCTTCTCAATTTGATGGAATTCAATAGGCTAGTTGGAGAGAACTTATTGATTGCAAGTTTCTCAAGCTTGAGCTTCCCAGGTGTCCCATTCATTCCATTTCCTGGCGATTGGCCACCCACTGGTAGCACCCTTGTTGAATTTGGGTTTGGGCTTCCCACCGATACAACATTGGGAATGCTCTTAAGACTCTTCAAGAAAAACAAGTTGGTCACTCCCAGTACCATCGGCGGGAACACCTCACCTTCTGCAAGCGCATTCAGGCGAGCAAAATCTGGATCATGGATGGTGAAGTACGGCCTGAAGTCTACACTGTACAAAAGTGGAGCAACAAGGCTAACAAGCCCAGCCACAGCTTCCGAGCACTGAGCTGGGGACGGCGCAACAACCAGCACGGGCTCGCCAACCACCATGAGCTCCCAGAGCGTCCATAGGTGGAGGAGTAATCCACGGAACGCGGCAAACAGGTCGGCATCATGGAAGAGTCCGTACGGCACCGAGGGGTTGGCGGGCAGCAGCGCAGGCGGCGGACCAGGGTCGTCAGCCGCAGGCGGGAGGTGCACGCGCAGCGCGGCACTGCCAATTGGAAGCTCCATTGGGCGCCCTGGCGCAGGCGCGGGCCACGCAGCGACGTGCGACGCCACCATGGCCAGCGCGGAGGGGCCGACGTCGAAGCAGAGCGGGCCGAGGATCTGCAGCAGCAAGCGGAAGAGCGAGGAGTAGGGGGCGTCGGAGAGGATGACTACGGACTTCTGCTCGCCGCCGCGGGGGAGGCGCTCGTCCTGGCGCTGGCGGTTGAAGACGAAGCCGTAGAGGAAGGCGCGGCGTGGGGAGGACGGGTCCGGGACGCGGAAGGAGAAGAGCGAGTCGTGGACGGAGGAGCGGTGGCGCGGGAGGTGGTGGGACATGGAGTCCGGGAAGGAGGAGAAGGCGACGAGG